AAGAGAGGAGTTTGAAACGCGCGCACGAGGATACATAAAGCCCTGATTAGTGGAGCACAGATTAAGCGAGTCACCATGGAGACGGAGGGAAAGAAGGCGCGGTCAATGTATTTTACAGCGCTTGAGGCCGAAATTCTGATGGCAGCATATGCCGATAACATGCAAATTTGCGGAAAAAAAGTAACACAGCTCAGCTGCAAAAGAAAGGGAGCATGCATGGCAAAACATAGCCGACAGAGTCAATGCGTGAGTGTTAATTTAAACATTGATCTAGGGATTCCCACCTTGCATCCATTACTATAATGAAATAATTTGTTAGTTTGAAATGCTACAGGGAACTATGTACCTGTACATTAATGCTGTGGAAAGACTTCCTGTTCACATAGTCTCCTTCATTTACTGAAGGAGCAATGATTGGAATGTGAGTGCCATCTGTACAGCCAATCACGCCTGGGAACCGTGAGAATAAATGTAAAATTTAAGTAGTAGTTCAAGTATCACCACATCATGAATTAAGTTTTGTTCATCCTGATACCTGCAATTTTGTGGCATCCCTCTTTGATAAATCTTGTGGGTCTATGACCGGGGAACACCACAAACGAGTACAGGAGACGTTTCAGTGCAACTGTAACATTCCTGACTGCCCGACAGACGGTAGCCTTGGAAACGTGCTCAGCGTCACCAATATTATACAGAAAGCTCCCGTTTGCAAAAAACCGAAGTGCAATACAAATAATATGTACAGAACTGAGAGCATGTCCGCGATGTGTCACATGAGCAATATTAGGCCTGAGGATGTTATTCAAATAAATTATAGATTGTGCTGAGAAACGGTAACGTTCACACAGAAATCATCAGGAAATGATAAAATGTCCAAACGCGCTCTAATCACTCTCTCCCGGCGGAGAGCTCTGCGGAGAATTTGGGCTTCAACATCTACTGGCTCTTCAAGGAAGGAGCACGCCATGTCTGACACTTCCTACAGTCAGGTTTCCGACAAAGAGGCGGAGAAAGTCAGGGTTAGTTGAAGTAAACCTGCTAGGGGGCAGGTTAGCTTCACGGAGTGTGTCGTCATAGTAACTCACTCAGAATTAATCTAAACTCGCTTTGTGAAACCGAAAACCCAGAGTTTTCGTTAACTCAGGGTATACTTACTCAGAGTTTGCACTAAACCGGCTTCCTGAAACATCTGCAGATGAAATTTATAGTAAAATGATTAATTCTCAGGAAATATTAAAGCAGTTTTTGGAGAGAAGGAAGTTCAACTGTCAGTTTTTTTTTTTTTGTTTTTTTTTTTTTTTTTTTTTAAGAAGTCCCAACATGATGTGATCACAGCAGCTTCTGTAGGTCTGTGGACAGTTAGATGTGCTACCATTAGCACGAGCAGACAGCTGTGATGAGCTTTTGGACTTTAACAGCAGCTGTTGGCTCCATTTGCAGCTGACTCAGAGCAGATGCTGATCTTCCATCAGTCCTTCTGTTTCTCCCACAGAGCATCTTCCATGATTAGAGCCAGTGTGGATAACCACGTTTTAAGAGCTTTCTTAGTGTGCTCTCCTTTTTCTTCCCTTCTGTCTCAGAGGGAAAGTCCTGTTCTCACTGTCCTGTGTCCTGCTGTTGCTTAAAACTTGAGCTTCCTCAGATCCATCATGGTTTAGTAAGAGGACAGAAAGCCTCCAATAAACATTTCTACATGTTTATAAAGCCCAGACTCAATTTCTGCTTTTGTTTCATCCAACCTTCCTCACACGATTTCACTTCTCCTTCCTGATCTCAGTATCACATGATTGCATTATCACATGATCATCTCCAGCACAAACAGCACAATCTGCTGCTCCATAGTTCACAGCAATGGACTCACAGCTAGATCAATGAGGCTGACCAGAACCTGAGAATCAGAGCAGCAGGTTTGAATTCATTTTTGTTCTCAGACATTAGAGGCAGTTTGTTCATGAAATGTTTAACCTGCTTCGGTTACGAAAGTTCCCCAGGACTTTGTTCCTCTCTTTAAGTCCCTCTGTTTTATTTGAATGTTTCACCTTTTTGCACCTTCACATCCAGGTATAAAATCAAAGTACAGCTTCTACATTTATGTGCAAACGTGATCTTAAATCGGTGACAGGCGTTGTCCCTATTGTTTTCATTTTAGTTTAAATACTTCTGAATTATACTCCAATAATTATATTTTAGAGTTTTCTATCACTGCTGACTTTGAGTTTATTTTCAACACGAGGAAGTACAGAAAAAAACAGCCTAACAAACTATTTTCAGTCATTCAGCCACTTTGTAGTATGATTTGAAGCTTTACTTCAAGGACATGATAGCTCTCATGCAGGAGGCTCATGACATTTGAATGTCATGTATTTTAAAGCATTTTAGGCAAAAAAAAAAAGAAGAGAAAACATAAGAGGAGAAAAAGTACTATTAATAAAAAATAAAAATTAAAAAAAATTGGACAAATAGAAGTAATCACAGCTGGTCTGATGTGATTTATTTATTTATTTTGTGTCCTGTTTGGATCTTTAGCCATCAGAATTTTTGTCTGAAGGCCAAGAAAGATGCCAAGCGGATTTACTTTACCAAGTGGATCATCATGGCCTTGCCATATTGGTCCATTTGATTGACCTTTATTATAATTATGTATTTATTTGATTTCATCTTCGGTTGTTGCAGACAGGACAGACAAGACTGGGGGATAGAAAGGGGGGAAGAAAACAAAAAAACACCTGGATCACCTGTATGGAGAAAAAACCCTAGAAAGAAAACAAACAAAAAAGAGCAACATATTAGATACATCACCATCACAATAAACTAGATAACAGTTGATAACAGTAGATACTAAATATTACATGTTATTGTGCAGTACAGAAGCCAGCTGTGCCAGAGAGGACCGAGCTTCAGGCCCAGAGGCCTGAGGGCATCCCACCCGCCGGAAGGAACCCAGCCGGGCCACAGGCGCCTGGCCCCGCCAATCAGCTACCAGGAGTGAGCCGGTACATACATGAGCGCCCAGCCCCAGATGACAAGGACCACCAACACACCAACGTCTGAGGGCATCAGCCACCGGCAGGGAGTGTGGTGAGGGGAGATAGGCCTCCGTACTTTAGAGGGCCTGAGATGACCCAGAGAGGTTGAGTCTAAGACCCAACCTGACATATAGACACAGACGAACAGGCGACACGCGGACACAGACGTGCATTCCCACCCCATATGCACAACCAAATACTCGGCACTCACCCAACGTGTAGAAGACAAAGACACTGCACAGACAGTCGCACTCCCCAAACATACTCTATATCCCAGGTCCAGGTACCCCCGCCCTCAGCCGCACCTAGACCCAGGAGATGTAACCCTTCTCTCTGGGGTGGAGGCAAGCGGACCACCTCCTTATCTGCAGTAGCAGGGAGGCCCTGCATCCCAGACCCCAGTCTGACGGCCAACACCTCCTCCCAGCCTGCCAGCCCTGACTGTTAACCAGTGTTGGGACTAACGCGTTATTAAGTAACGCGTTACAGTAACTACGTTATTATTGTGGTAACGAGCACGGTAACTAGTTATTATGCCAAAATCAGGAACGCGTTACTCGTTACTGGGATTTAGATAGGCTCGTTATTCGTTACTTCGTGTGGTGGCTATCGCGGAGCTTCCACAGATTCAGTAACATTAGCAAGTGGTGGAGGCAGCAGGTGGATGAGAAAAGGGGAGGCAGGAGGAGAGACCCGAAGCGGCCGCCGGTCCGAGTGTCAGGTGAACTGAACTTCAGGTAAGAAGTTATGACCTGCAGTCTCTCTGGGTCAGATATGAACCAAGTTTAGGTGGAGTTTATTTTCGTTATGCTGACTTTTTCCGTACTGCGTGCTAGCTAGCATGACGGAGTTTCTATACAGCTGGGTGGTGCTATGATGTTACTGATGTTGAACTTTATTTTGTTCATAAGTTATTAGAGTTGCCAACCGTCCCGTCTGGTATTCAGAGAAAATATTACGCGTTTCTTATTGAGGTGAAAAGGAACAGTTTGTCCCGTAATTCAGCTACAATGAAAAAGACACAAAGCTGGAGTTATTCTGTGTCTTTGCTGCACAGCTGCCTCTTCTTCTCATTCTCCCCCCTCCCTCTCCCGTTTCTACTTCAATCATGAAACTGATCAATGATCAGCTGATCGGCTCTCTTGTTTGTTTATCGCCCACTTTGCGCCAGAAAGAGGAAACCAGCGGATGTCGCGCTAAACAACAGCAGCACGTTTAAGCTTGATCAGCTGTTGTTAGAATTTATTTAATATTAATTTCTAGTATCAGCTGATGTTTGCTGGAGCCACAGCTGTAAAGCTGCTGGTCATGATATGGTTTGGTTATCTGGTGAGAGGGAAACATGAAGATGAAACCAGGAGATGTCCTTACTGAATCATCAGAGCTGAACAGTGATGGAGAAACAGGTTTACCTTTTAGGTGACATGAATGAGTTGAAGGGAAGTTATGAACTGTTTCTGAGAGACAAATAACACCAGGATCCTTTTTTAGGTAGCTGACAGCTGGTAACTGTGCAGGGGCGGGTCTAGCAAAGTGTTGCCAGGGGGGCATGTAGGGCATTAACAGGGAGAGGGGGGCACAAAGAAATACTTTTCTTTCTTATTCTCATTTAAAATGTCTAGCTTTTAAAAAATAATTATCTGAATCTTACAACAAACGATTGATAGATTGATGCATATATACCATCAGAACAGTGTACATCACTGTCACAACAGTGTTTGTTTTCATTCAAAGGCTTTATGATTTTTCCTATAATGGTGGGCCGGTCTCTAGTCAAAATGCCCGGGACAATTTTCTGTCCCAGTCCAGCCCTGTATGCAGCTCATCTGCAGTCTGGTGTTACCTACATCTTCCTATTCAGAAGGCAGAATTTCAGAGTTCTGAGTACAATCGAAAGCACCACGACTGCAGTTTTTGTGTTGGATGTAAAAGGCGCACATGACGCTGTGACGTAGGCTAGAATCATGGCAGCAGTCAATGACGGTCCAGGCGTGGGATTTCTCTCGTGGAAATATGCACATTATCTTTTCCTTTCTATTGGTAGGTGGCACAGTGCACTGTGGCAAGTAAGCAAGCTAGAAGACTGGCAAAGTTATGGAAGCAACACATTAACAAGAGAATTCTGAGTAAAACCAAAGTTACTTTCCCTAGTAACTAGTTACTTTGAAAGTAACGAGTAACTTGAAGTAACTGAGTTACTTTTGAGAGAAGTAACTAGTAATGTAACTAAGTTACTATTTTAAAGTAACTTACCCAACACTGCTGTTAACAGAATGACCCCAAACCTCCCTCTGCCCGCTCATATGTAGTGTTGCTGTGTGCTGTTCTAAAGTGCATTTAAAACACAGGAGGGCATGGTGCTTCCTGCCACAGAGCAGCACGGCTCCTACCGAAAACCCTCAGTGTCTATATATTTAAAATTGAGGGTAGGGCACCAGCGCCAGAAGGGGGTTGGAGTACACCGACCATCCTCTGGATGCTGTATAACGTGCCCACCCCCAAGGCCCTATATGTATGTGTTTTGAGACTATGAGTAATGTGCATGTCTAGGTTGCAGAATAAACTGATGTGACTGATGTGATTTTTAATTTACATCTGAGAAGTTTATAAAGAGCTATACTGAAATAAATATTTTATGATCCACAGACTGTAACATACATGTGCTCTAAATCTAGAGGTTCTGTCTGTTATTTTTGAATAAATTAAGCAGATACTTGAAGTTTTCACATCTACACGTTCACCTAAAAGCATCTTAAAACTTTAGTGACACAGAAACAGAGTTATTTAAAATCTTTACTCAAAGTTTTATCCGCTCTCCTTCACTTAGAGTTTCATTTGAAATGCATTCAGGGAGACTTGGCTGCCACACAAGTCCCCGCCTGATGGTCTTCGACAGCAGTAGTAAAGTATATCCCAGTATATTTAGTCAAACTCACAGACACAGAGCATTACTGGATGGACGCTTCCAATCACAGTGAATCAGTGTGTGTCAGTGAATGGATCATGTGTACTTCAGGTCTCCATTTAGTGGACTGACAGTAGAAGTAGAGCAGCTGATGGCAGCTTCCTCTGCCTCACACTGCGGTCTGACTGCATTCAGCTGACACTGACATGAAGCAGGAAAGAAGCAGCTGATATTTGGACAGCACACATGATGGAAAGGAGGATTTCAGTTGATGTGCACATGAATGATTTGTGTTTCCTCTGCAGGTAGAAAGTGTGTGTGAGCTGAGCAGCATGGATCAGTGTGAGGACAGAGAGGAGGGAGCCCCTCCCTCTAAAAGCACTCTGTGTGGGGAACATGAGAGCCAGACCAAAGCTCAGAGGTGAGATGACCATCTCTAACTGTCCATGACTCTTCTCCATGTCACAGCTCAGCACTCACATCACTGCTGCATCATTATTCACAGGAAGAATCGTAGAAGGAGAAGGAAACGTAAACCTAAATCTGAACCAGAAACTAGACCTTCACCCAGCTGTGTGTCCTTAAAGAGTAACGCGTCTAAAGATCGCACCATTGATTTTAAAGTCCAGCAGTCATCTGCTGCAGAGAGGTGAGCTGTTAGTAACATCAACTCTTTGATTTAACTTTTTGATGTTGTTGGATTGTTACTGCAGTGTACTGCAGTGCAAAAACGTCATTCCCTCAATCCCATTTAAACTTTCTCTTAAAAAAACAAGCCTTTGGTTTCTAGACAACTGAAAATCCGCTTAACCCTGTAAGACCCAACCCTTCAAAAAATAGCCAGAAAATTCAGATTTTGTCATGGTCCCAGGACTTCTGACCCAGTGTTTTAAGTTTTGTGTGGTTTTGGGGCATTTTGTATTCTGTCCCTTTGTTATTCTAAAGGTTTTTGTAAGTTTCCTAGGTTATTCTGTTCAGTATTGTTCATTATTTCCCCCCCTGTCTTTGCCCACTGAAATGTCCCTCTGTGTTTATCTAGTTGTGTGAGTTCTTGTGTCTTGTTTTCCCTGGTGATTCATTCCATCATGTTTACCCATGTTCCCCCCTGCCGGTCATGTCTGTGCTCTCCCTTGTGTTCCTTCACTCCCTCTTGTCTGCCTCTCCTCTACTCCTGCATCATGTTTCCCGTTTTATTGTGAAGGTCCCGCGTTTCCATGTTTTTTCTTGTCAGTTTTGCTTCTCCTGTCTTGGTATGATCATTCGTCTCAGCTGTGTTCCCCATGTGCTCGCATGTCCATTATCTTTGTCCATTATCTTATATGTATTTAGGTCAGCGTCTCCCTCAGTTCCACGTTGCGTCGTCCCTCATAGCTTTGTGACTCTCCCTGTGTTTTCCCATATGATTTATTATTAGTTTACCCAGTTTAGTTTTGTATATTTCTGCCTTTTTTCCCATTCAGCAAATGAGAATTGTATTTTGAGTTAAGTCCTGATCCGGTGAGTTTGCGTTTGGGGTCCTTCTCCTGCACGCAGCCGGGTTTAAGACAGATTTTTTGGAACTGAGATGTTTAATAACCCTTATAACAAAATCCACAAAAATGTTTTTGCTATATCATGTTATTTGATATATTTTTATGATATATTTGTTATATATATTTTTTGTATGACATTTCATAGATTGGGCATTTTTTGGCAACTGTTTTTTTTTTTTAACAACAGTGTTAATTCGAAAACAAAAAAGTTTTGTCCTAATTCTCATAACATTTTGAAATTATGGATCGTATTAATCATGTTGATGAGATACAGCTCTCAGAAACTCATGTAGCAAATATGATACAAATATATGTATTATTATAGGGTTAAGTTACTAAAGTTAAATTTAAAACAAAAGCCATTCAGAAAGCCATCTGATGGTCCATGTTTAACACATAGTATGGTTGTCATCTTTTAGATGGTCCTGAGAGTTGACCAATCATGTAAGTTGTTAGAGTCACATTGGTGAAGTTCTGAATGGGGACAGTGTTACCAGTGGTTGATAGTGTTGTAGGTCTCCAGCTCTGTCAATTAATGTTTTTTGTTAGTGGCCCTTACTTTGGGTTCATAATATGGATTTTTGTAATTTTGCCTCTGTATACAAGCACTGTGGATTTAAAATCAGAGTGGGGGTGGGGTGGCTGACAGACAGATCAGTGTTGAGGCTGTGGATGAGGGATGAGTGTAAAAGCGGACACTGTATGCAGACAGC